TAGTTTTTTTGGAGGAAAAGAGTCTTTTATTCTGCCCTTACGTACAGATATCACGCAAAAACCTCGTTAAATTGCATTCGAAAGCGATTAAATTGGATATTTTTGTTGAAATATGCTGCCTGAAGCTTTTCGCGATTACCATACTTTCTTTTTACTTCGTACAAGGCAGTAAAAAGCAAATGCAAATAGGCACAGAGCAATAGCAAGTTAATGTAGAGTATGTTAAAAAAGTTCGTCATTGCTTATGATACATGTTTGTATTCATGAGAGTAATTCTGCATGCCCATTTCTCAGCATGGAAGATGTCACACTATTGCAAGCATCTGTAATACGATGATGTAGATCCAGCAGACTTATGCGGAGTATGTCCAATATGTGGAGTTGCATAAAGGTGATCTTTTATTAAACACCCACAAGAAAAATTCCAATGAAGAGAGGTCCAGAAATCATGGAGGCCCTTCAACACTATCACCATACCCGATAATTTGTTGTACAAAAAAGTTTGAGAAAGCTTTGCACTCCAGCTATCTGGTGCTTCACCGTCTTGCTAGAACTACAAGGACCCTAATGTAGACAGGGAAATACCATTTAGAAAGTCAAGTATGATATCCTGTAATAGTTGGAGGTACATTTAATGTGTATTCATAGAACACAGGTCCCAGTAAGCAATTCTTCCAGATCACATGCCAGATGTTAATGGACTAGTGCACTTGGTGTCTGGTGGATAGTAACTATGCGGGATTTTCCAATGCTCAGTAGTGGGAATTGTGTCAATTTAATAATCCAGTACATTGAAACAGTGCCTTGTCTGACCTAAAACTGTTGGATAAAAAATCTGAGTAACCTTTAACATTAGTCAACATCCAGTTGCATGAATCAAATTGATGCTCATTATCTCGTGGTAACAGTGCTTGCTGCAGTGACACAATAGGGATGTACACTGTGCAATAAAAAATGGAACAGTTCTAGATCTCCGTTCTACTGGGCTGATTGACGAAATTCAACTTGCATTTTTCATATCTTGAAAGTGAAACTCAGGATATATATTAGATTTATATACAGTCAAAAGACTTTAATCCGGACACGTCGGGACTTCGGCGATTCCGGATTATAGAAATCTGGTAAGATGGCATGCAGAAATTATAAAATTAAAAATATGAAACCGTAACTTGTGAAATAAAAAGCAATTATGATCTAAAGGGTATCAAAATTTACAAAAAAAAGCTTAATATTTATTTGTTTACTTTATTAAACATTTCTTTCAATGCGCGCATGCGTAAAGCATACATTACGCATAGTCGAAATTAGAAAATTGCAACCAGAAAACTATTTTAAGTGTATTCGTGATATTCATAATGACGAGGAAATTGATTTAAATTATATCGGAATACACCGAGATGAAACACTACATTTAGTGAGGAATTATAATCCAAATAAAATAAAAACATCTGCCCTGAAGATGAGGATAGTGCTGACAGATCAATTTCCAGTTCACTGCGCATCGCAACGTTCCCCCTCCTCCGCAGAGCAGCGTGAAATTGATAAACAGATTTTGGAATGGTTAGGGAAACAAATCACCTCTCTGTCACTTTCATGCCTTTATCCATTATTTTTTTGCAGCAATTCCACTTTTTGTTTCATGGACATCGAAACCTGCTTTCGCTCTGTAGATCCTTTGACAGCTCCAGAATTGGAAACTCTTTTTGACATAATTGAAAGTTCAAGCTTACTTTTTAAAAAATTGCTCTAAAAGTCTGCAAAAAGTAATAAGCTGGATCCAATTAAAAGATTAAGGAAGAACGCAATCTGCAACATCAACTGAAATAGATAATTAGATCATTTTAGCTTAGCTTATACCGACCGTTATACATTAAACGCTCATGCGTAAATGTATTACGTACATGCGTTGCGTTTACGCATGCGCAGAAAGTTTGTAGCTTTGAGGTCCGGATTAAAGACTTTTGACTGTATAACACTGTTCTGACATAGATATTTTGACACAAAATTGGACTTTTTCTGAAATAACATACCAATGTTTTTATATATTTCAAATCTATGACTCAAATTATGCCAGGCTGCCAAGTTTAGCAAAATTTGCATGAGTAGTTTTTAAAATATTAGCTTTCAAAATTTCAGCTCCTCAATGTTAATTGAATTTGGTATATATTTATTAATATATCTTTTTTTATTCTTCCTTTCACATTTTGAAATTTAGATTCATTCCAAATAAAATTCACCTTTTTTATGATTTATTTTTTTTTTTATGATTTGCAGCGATAATAACGCCAAATGTGGTTTATGGATTTTTGTTAAAGTGAATTGCCACAGCTATTTTTAACCTTAAATTTCAAATAAATTTTACAGAGAATTAATTATATATATATATATATATTAATATATATTTTTACAGAGAATTAATTATATAATATATATATAATTAGAGAATTAATTATTATATAATATATTATATATAAAAGAAGGATGCTTTCATGAAGAACTTTCTAAGGAAAGTCAGCTGGCATACATGTCACACATGAAAAAACCACAAAAACGGCCATGCAACCAGTCTGTTTGCCGGGATTCGGACCCCGGAGCGACGGCGACCCAGTGTTCAGCGACTTTACCGCTCGGCCATTTGTGGGCTTTATGAAATGGAAAGCGATAACTTTATTTAAAATTAATCTCAGAAATATTAAGATGTTTCAAAAAGTTGGATGCTTTTTAATATACTTGCAGAATGCCTGAAGAAAAAGAGCAAGCCATTAAAAAGAAAAAATAATTTTTTGCATAAAATTCAGTACCATTTTTCAATTCAAAAATAAAATATTTGACTTAATTAAGAATAACATATTTAAGAAACTAAATGTAGGATGATAAAACTGTTTAAAGCAATATATACAAGTCATCTTAAGTTAAAATGTCAAATATACATATCTCTTATTTATATATCTTTTCTGAACGGAACACTAAAAGGCGTGTTAACTGTACTTTACTGTATTTCCTCTTTTAATATATGCAGTTTTCAAATGCATCATAGTCTGGGTCACAAAGTATTTTCTTTCAAAAGAAATGCAACTCAAATAAATAAAATCAAATTCTGGAAAATTTATATTAATAAATTATTTTAAATGCTCAGTTCGAATGAATAAATAGAAAATTTTAAAACAATTATCTGAAGAGGCAATGCAACACAAACAATTAAAATAAAAGTCTAAAAGTTTAAAAATTACCTAAAATAATAACTATGACAAAAAATAAATTATTAAAAAGAACTATTAGAAAAAAAATAAACGATGCAAATTTTATTTACACTATGGAGTTTGAATGAATAAATAGAAATTTTTAAAACAGTTATTTGAAAGAAACCATGCAACTTACACAATTAAAATGAAATTCGAAAAAGAAAAAAAAATTGTAGAATGGGAGATATAGAAATGTCCTTTTTTTTTTTTTTTCCCGCAGTATACATGTTGAAAATGCAGTATTTGCAATATTTGAGCCTTTGTTAAACCATAAGCCATGTTGATATCTCTTGTACTACTGTGTAGATGGGCTAGTACATATGCAAAAATACTCTCTGGCATTACACACATACCTGCACTCACTGGTCTGTCAGAACATGGACGACTTCTAGTGCTTTCTGGCTCCTTGAGCCATCGTACTACATTTGCAATGGTAGCCGCACTTGGATGTGCCCAGCTGGAAAACGAATGGCATACTTACATGCAACATGTTTCGTTGGCATTTACTATAAATAAGCACCATCTCACAATATTGGTCAAAGTACCCCTGTTATTATTGGTCAATATACCTAAGTTAGTGAAACTTGCTATTTTCGCACAGGAATCCATTTATTATAAATGGAATTCACTTATTTTGTCACTCTCAAAACACAATGACTGAAATTGCCCAAACATAAAAAATGAAAGCGCTTGTGCATTCAGAATAAAGTTATCATCTGCCATCGATATTATAATGAGGTTTGAGATTATGCTGTTTGTATGAAGCAAGTACCACCTTTTAAACTAAAATTTTAAAGGCATTGGAAATTGCAATTTTACAGTACAATACAACATCACAATCTGCAGTTGCGCCCTGCTACATTTACAAAATGTGAACATGCAGAGTAGAATCCTCATGCATCGGTTGCGGACATCTTTCGGTATGCAGGTGACAATTTTCTGTGTGAACCAAATGTCGTTTTGTACTATTTAATTGATCTTCTAAAACGTTCTAATTGGAAATTTTGCTCTATCTCTTTTCATTTTCGATTTGCAATGTGTATATTCCAAACTTTGCCACTAGAGGAGCTGCTGTCATTTGCATTAGGTTGAGCATACTCACTTTATTATACCATTACCTCCCTTGCATAGCTGTTTGCAAGAATTTTTAGGATAAAGAGACTTCCTATGCAACCCTGTAGAATTATTTTGCAAATTACATGTCCAAACAAACCCTTTCTAATCAACTGAGAATAAAATCTGCTTTCTACTGAAGGCTGTAATACCACTTGTATGATACATCAACCTTTGAATCTAACTAGAGTTCTAAACAAAAGTTTAAAACACTATTCTAACAAGTTCTAAACAAAACTGATGTATTTTGTTTAGAACTCATCTATTCATTACGATTCATAAGGACTAAATGCTAAACCATACATAATAAAATCTGAATTGTTAGCTCACTGCTAGCTTATTTTGTGTATACGTGTATATATAGCTTATTTTGGGTATATGTATTTGTTCAATAGAGTGGAAGTGACTAAAATTCAAATGCAATAGAACCAAACAACTGTGAACTCTAGGTTCCAGTCAATTATTACCAATTTAATTTCAATATTCGTATCAATAAGCATTTTTCAAAAAATTTATGCTAAAATAAGAGAAATTGAGTTACAATAGCTGACTAGTGATAAAACTTAAATTAAAAAAGATACTGGTATGAATATGCATGAAACTGAGTGTAAAAGTCAAGAACATGATATGCATTTTGCAACTCACATTTTCTGTCTTTTTTAAAACATCTGTTGTAAACAGCTCTCCCATAACAGCATTGACCTAAAACATAATACACATTATTATTAAAACAATCAAGATGTTCATAAATATACAAATGAAATTAACACAAACTAGTTAGAAACCAAATTCATTCAGAAATAATAAAATAAACAATTACAGGCAAAATTGTACTTGTGCTGTGCACATTACTTGTGCTGTCTAATTGTTCATTTATTTATTTAATATCTCAATAAAATGATTCATGTGCATTAATAGACCGCAAACATTTAATGATGCAATTCAACATGCTTACTAATTTGTATCAATAAATTACTCCTTCAAAGATTCACTCACGGTTTTTAAAAGTTGCTTACATGTTTCATCAGTCTGAACCTGACTAGTGTCTTGTTTTTACATTCTCTGTTTGAAAAATCAATATCTTTGCTGTTAATAAGACACTGTCCGCAGCAAACACAATCAGAATTATTTTATTGTAAAGACTGTAATACTTATAACTATTCCTCAGAAAACTATATAAGATAGGGTGACCGGAGAAATTCTCTATTGCAAGAGAACTGAATCTTAGTTTCTATTAATTTCCTAAAACTATGTTTTTGGGTAGATTTCCTAATGATTTGAATGTCATTGCAGCTACTTTCTGAATAATGTTAGATTTATTTTTGACTAATTACTACTAATTACCTTTTGTACATTTTGTAATTCTGTTAATTAGTTCCTTATCTGTTATTCATATAGAGATTGATTGTACTATCATACCGTTTGTTCTGATTTTCCCCCTCATTTAAAATTGCAGGACAAAGAGAAAAAAATTAAAACTTAATACAATAGAATTAATATCCTAAAATTAAACAGCAAAATAACAAAGCATTAAAATAATCTCTGATGGCAGCAGCATATCTTAAGCCAAATATAATAATAGTAGCATCACTGATGAAAACAGCATGTCAAAAAAAACCTGAATCATATGATTCTATTAAAATTAAAAGGAGCAACAAAATGTATAATTACTTTGCAGAAAAATAATTATAGTCATCTTAATAAATATATATCCTAATAAATTATTATAAACACTATCGATTTTTCATAATAAAATATAATCCTAATTCTAAACATTTTGAAGACAGGAAAGAAAAACAAAACACAAGTTGATTCCCATCAGGTAAAGCAGGCAAGACTTACAGAGTTTTAGTAAACATGATATATTGAGTATTCTAAAAAGTATTGAGCCTTTTGCTCATGAGGTAATGTTAGCATAAAAAAGCTCAAGATATAAGAAGTTACAGAGAATCAGGATGAGCATCATTTAAAAGGCGGCATTTGAAGCTAGTAAATAGTTTTGAAATTTTTACATTCAGATGTAAGGTATTGCACCATGAAGATAAGTGAGATTTCTATAAATTGAGCTACATGTTACAATTTTATTATCAGTAAAGGCACAAATGCCGAGCCACTGCATTAAGAAATTTGTGCTATTAATTAATGTAAGATATGTTATAAAAAATAACAGTTAGAAGATGGTTCAGTCCCTTTTATTCTGGAAATTTAGATGTTCAAGATGCTTCAACACATTCCAAGATGCTCCTGATAGCAGGTCCTCCATCAGCTACTGCTGTCAGACAGAATGATAGATTTACACTTGTACTGTTACCAATTAGAGTGACCACACCTAGCAATTCAAAAGAAATGGCCTGAACTTATCAACAGAAGGTTGTTGCACACTAAGCTGACAAAAGCAGAATGCACACATCTTTAATAGTCAGTCAGAAACTGAGAGAACTTGGCTGGGAAGTTTTAATGTATCCACTGCATAGCCTGGACTTGGCACAGATGAATTATTAACGGTTTTGGTTGCTTCAGAACTCCCTGAATAGTCTTAAATTAGTTTAAAAAGAGGCCTATGAGCACTATGTGTCACATAAGCCACAGAAGTTCTATAGTAACAGTATTATGTTGCTGAAAAAATGGCAGAAGGTCAAGCAAAATAGTGCACATGTGGTTTCATAATATTATTTTCTAGTAAGAGTGGTGTGATTCAGAATTCGAAAGAAGTTGCTGAGGATTAGTAGCAGTGGAAGGAGATTTTTAAAGGATAACCTCTATTAATTCGCCATAGCTAAACTATCAAAATCGGAGAAGAATCCAGTGCTAACACCTTGGCAATTTCAAATTAAATCTTTTCATGATTTTACAAAATATTATCTAGTTTCTTCTGATACTGAGCAGAGTTTTTTCTAAATACAAAGGTGTTCTTAACTGACATTTTAAAACATAGAAATGATGAGTATTTTCAGCTTTCTCAATGCATAATGCGCCTTGTTCGCATTTCTCAGGAAAGAGGCAGCATTTTTGTTTTTCTTCCTTGATTTAATAGGTCATTATACATAATACCTTGAATGATCATTATATAATGATCCAGACATGATGTATTTACTTTACATATAATGTATATATTGACGTGATCAATAATGGGTATCCTGCCAATGGGGGGTTTTTCCTTAATCACTTTCCAGTCATCGTGGTGGACACTGTTTTTTGATTGAGAAAAACAGGACATTTTCTAATATAAACCTGATGTTACACAGGGTTTGAGAATGAAATATTTCTGGGTGTCTTTTCAAGCTTTGAGACATGTGTTGAGGTTATATTCAGTTTTATTCCGTTAACTATGGCTAAGAGGCCTTACTTTAAAAACTTAAAAATTTGTCCCATCACCAGACACTCCACTTTTCCATCTAACTGGAAGACATATTCCAAAAATTTACATTGACGGAAAAGGTAATAAAGCTAGGAGAAGATGCATCGTGTGCGCTAAAACCAAGGAAAAGCAAACAACATATTTTAAGTGCAAATTATGCAATGTAGGACTGTGTCTTGATCCTTGTTTTGAATTATTTCACACACAAGAATTTTTAAATTGGAATTTAATTAATTACCTACAGGTAATTCTTGTTTAGTTTTTTTTTTTTTTTTAATTTCATATTTGTAATTTTTTTTTTCATGTTTTTAGTACTTATTTCTGTATGTATAGTTATGATTTTAGTATTTTGCCTGTTTAATTTATTTCTATTAATGTGATATTCTTTATATTAATACACATTAAAACAAGTACACTAAATATGCAACTTCAAAAATTGAAGCCATAATATCAAAGTGCTGATTTTATACGATTATTTTTGTAAAATTCGGCTTAACTGCTGAAAACGCGCGGGCTGGTGGCGACGATCCATTTCAGCAGGTCCGGTCCCGTGACTGCACTTCATTCTCCGTGCGCTGGTCCTTAAGGGGTTAATGTTTATTATGAATATTTTTTGCTTTAACATCGATAATAAGGCAGTTTTAGATTTTTTTCCTTTGTATATGCCTAATGATTTGCCTTGATGCCACATTTCAAGTAACTAAGTCATTTAGAAGTGGTCTAGGTTTTTGATCAGATGAGTGATAAAAGTGAGTGATAAAACTCACTTTTATCACTCATCTGATCACTTTTATCACCCAGTCAGTGAGTGATAAAAATGACACTTTTCAAACCTTAATAATTCCATAGGCGTAACAGGTAAGTTAATGAAATTTGAGATTCTAGGTGGTTCAAGGGAACTCTATTAGACATACAAAATTGCACATACAAAAATGGTTCAAGGGAACTCTATTAGACATACAAATTTTGTAGGTCTAATAGTTTTTGAGTAATGGGTGGTCAGAAGTAGCTCAAAATGGTTCGTGTACGATAACACATGGCCGGTGTCTCGCTGTTTTCTTTTATGTCTGTTCTGAACTCGGCTGACACACTGTCGTGTGTCTAAATCTAAATTTCACTAATAAAGAAAAACGACTGATTCATGCAATATAGTAGAGCATTGCTTAAAAAAATCAAATTATTAATCGGTATTTTATAACTGAATGGCAATATCAGTACTAAATCTAAAAAAATTAAACCTAAAAGTACTGCATTGTTATGGTAGCATATATTACAACTTGTACATGGAATGAAATAGTTTTAGAAAATTATGAAATACAAATTAAAGAGCAGCTTGATATGAATGATATGCAAAGAAAGCTGATTCAACACATTCAAAAATTGCTAAATCTCTATATAGTACAGAAAATATTAATGAAATGTTAAATGCCAACGATAAATTTTTTAAACTAAATTTGCTCCATATTTTATCAATGTACTTTGAAGATAAAAAAAACTGAAATAATGCATTAACATTTTGTTAAACCAATTTGTTAGTGGTTGCTTTCTGTTACTTATATGCAGGGTAGTTATAAAAGTGATCCTAGTGAGACCTAAGTAGAACCCATTCTGGGTGATGTATTCCACTGAAACTTTGTACGGTCAAAAGTCTTTAATCCGGACTCATCGGGACTTCGGCGATTCCGGATTATCGATTTTTTTTTTGGATTATAGATCATCAGTTTAAATCTGGTAAGATGGCATGCAGAAATTATAAAATTAAAAATATGAAACCGTAATTTATAAAATAATGAGCAATTATGATCTAAAGGGTATCAAAATTTACAAAAAAAGAAGTTTAATATTTATTTGTTTACTTTATTAAACATTTCTTTCAACGCGTGCATGCGTAAAGCATACATTACGCATAGCCGAAATTAGAAAATTGCTACCAGAAAACTATTTGATTTGTATTCGTGATATTTATAATGACGAGGAATTTGATTTAAATCATATCAAAGACAGAGTAGATCGAGATGAAATACTACATTTAGTAAGGAATTATAAGCTGAATAAAATAAAAACATCTGCCCTGAAGATAACGATAGTGCTGACAGATCAACTTCCAGTTCATTGCGCGCCGCGACGCCCCCCCCCCCAGCGCAGAGCAGCGTGAAATTGATAAACAGATTTCGGAACGGTTAGATAAAGAAAGGATATGCCTTTATCCATTTTTTGTAGCAATTCCACTTTTTGTTTGATGGACATCGAAACATACTTTCATTTTCTAGATCCTTTGGGAGCTCCAGCATCAGAAATTCTATTTGACATAATCGAAAGTTCAAGCTTACTTTTATAAAATTGC